TGGGGTAGAGTGAACACTTGCCTGTTGCTGTACCCATCCTCTTCTGGCTGAGGCAAAAGGCTTTGAATTTGCTACATGTTAAATGCGCTCAAAGAGGGGGTTAAAGAAGGTAGGTAATTTCCCTCAACTGAGAGACCTCTAAGATGGCTTTGGGGTATGTGTGGAAAGGGGAGGTGAGATGTACTTATGATGGCACTGGTCACGGACACAATCATGTAATGCCATCTTTACTGCTTCAGAACAGATGTTCTCAGCTCAGAACTACTGGTAACATAAGCCCAGGCCACCTCTACTTTTTTTTTTTTTTTTTTATTGTGGTGATATAGGGTTTGGGATTCTTCTCTAATACAACCTCCATCTTGTGCTCACATTTTTCATCTGTAGCTCTGAGTAGTGTTCACAGAATAAGAAATGATCATGGGGAGGAAATGGGCTGGGAAGGGGCTGAGACACCGAGGAGCGATGTGACTTGCCCAATGCACCGTTGAAGGTTAGTGACCGCATAAAGATGGAAATAGAAAACAACGCCTAAGATGAATCAATTCATTATAATCCATTGAATCATATCATTAGGCAGCGATTCATCTGAAATGTTATTAAACCCTCAGGACAGGGACCTGGATTTAGTTACCCAGAAGTAAACAAATAGTGACAGTACTTTGTGTGTGCTATGAACAACTTCTTATTTTGCTTTGTTTGTAATCCTGCTGCAGCTGGCATGCCCTGTACAGCTTAGATCAGAATTCCTGTTATTGTACCCTTCTGGAAAGAAGGATGTGCTTCTCTCTTGATCTCTGAGTTGTAAAGTTTAAATGCAATCTTTTGGGGGTTTAGTGTTTTTGTTTGTTTTTATTGTTGTGGGGTTTTGTTGGAGTTTTGGGTTTTGGTTGTTTGTTTTTGGTGGGTTTTTTTGTAGTTTGTTGGTTTTTTTTTTGAAAGGGTATCATGGATAGCCTGGTGGGAGTCGTGTCTTGGTCCTTGCCTGAATCTATTACAATGGTAGCACCCAGAGTAAGTAGCACAGTCTTGCATGCACGCTACCCCACTGTAATTTTATGATACCCATATCATAAGATCTGTTGTGCATTAAAAAGAAAAACCATTTAGAATTAGATTTAGAATGCAAAACCATCAAGGAATGAAGATGGGAACAACATAAAAAAACCCCCAAGTAGCCAGAATTTACGGAAACAAGACAGCAGAATCCCATGCTATGGGGAAAATGGAGGAAGAGCCTGTTGTACAACACTGCTGTAACAGAAGGACGTGACTAAGTCCGTTGTCTGCCCTTGCTCACAATGTATGGAAGAAGAGAAAAATGTGCCAGGAAATAAAGAGAAAGCACGGGCAATTCCTAAATGAACACGAATCTCTTTATCGGTAAGACAGGGCTAGGTCATGCCAGATAAACATGCTAAATGTTCAGGAAATCACTTCAGTTTACAGGTGCAGTGAGCTATTCTCCACTTTCAGTAACAGTGTGTCAGCCTGACTTCTAATGCTCTTTAGAAAAGCCTTGCAGTTATTGTGGCCGATTTTAGAGTCTAAACTAAACAGACTCTAGTTTAGAAAGCAGACATTGATTATTCTGTGCAGGGTACAAGGTGGAGATTTCCACAAATCAAGCACACCAAGCAGTAAAAAGTTACATCTTTCATACATTAAAATTTACATGAACCCGCCTATCTAATAAATATTCTCCGCCCACCTAGTACATATTTATGTATGTGATGTAATCTTACGCAATGCTTGAAACACAAAGTGCTTTTCTTTATTAAGCAACTTGTATTGCAGAAGTTATCTGACTACATCAGCTACGTTTACAAAGGGTGAGAAGACTCAGCCTGGAAACACAATTCAGCTTGAAATCATCAATACTAGTTTGATTACAGCAATATTGGAGTAATCCCTCTCTAATATCAGAGAAACCTCCTGTATTACGTGTTCCTGCCTAGGGTCTACACATATCGGCAGTGCCGGGTTGCAGATGTTCCTACTGGAACGAAAGTTTCTCTTTTAGAGTAATAATAACAAATTTTTAAGGTAGCCCTGCAGTAGCACTTCTGAGGTTTAAAACACAGGACTGTTTCTAAAACGACAGCGACGGCTTTAGCAGAGATACCCCCGTTTCCAGGAGGGGGCTGCGCGCCTCTGCTCTCCTGGGGCAGGCGCGGACACGTTTCCTAGGAGGCGGGCTCACGGGGCGCTCGGTGCCAGCGCTGCCGGTGCCGGGGCGGTCGCGGGGCGCGGGCGGAGGTTCGGCCCGGCCCGGGGGCGGCTCGGCCGCCGGCGACTCCCATTGGGTGGATTTGGATCCGCAGCGCCATTGGTCGGAGCGGGAGAGAGCGCGGCGCAGCCAATCGACGAGCAGAGCGAGGCGCGCGGGGAAGCTATAAGAGGAGCCGCGGGTGGGGTGCGGTGACACGTGATCACGTCACTTGGAGCGGCGGCAGCGGCAGCAGCGTCGGGAGCGATGTCCGGGCGCGGGAAGCAGGGCGGGAAGGCGCGGGCCAAGGCCAAGTCGCGCTCGTCGCGGGCCGGGCTGCAGTTCCCCGTGGGCCGCGTGCACCGGCTGCTGCGCAAGGGCAACTACGCGGAGCGGGTGGGCGCCGGCGCGCCCGTGTACCTGGCGGCCGTGCTGGAGTACCTGACGGCCGAGATCCTGGAGCTGGCGGGCAACGCGGCCCGCGACAACAAGAAGACGCGCATCATCCCCCGCCACCTGCAGCTCGCCATCCGCAACGACGAGGAGCTCAACAAGCTGCTGGGCAAGGTGACGATCGCGCAGGGCGGCGTGCTGCCCAACATCCAGGCCGTGCTGCTGCCCAAGAAGACCGACAGCCATAAGGCCAAAAGCAAGTGAAACAAACCTGAGGAGCGCTCCCACCTCAAAAGTAACCCAAAGGCTCTTTTCAGAGCCACCCACTTTCTCATTAAAGGAGCTGTACATCCTAGCAAAAATTAAGCCAAAAAAAAAATCTCCAAGTAGCCCCCCCAAAAGCCTAAAACAAAGTCCAAACCGAAAAACCCCTATCCCAAGCTCTTTATTTTCACTCTTCAAAACGAAATTAAATTAAAAAAACAATGTAACATCAACTGCTGGTAGATACATGCCAAAAACCGAGATTTGTTTCATGTGAAAGGAATCACTTTTCTCGGGGGGGGCTGTGGTGTGTGAAAAAGATAAAGTTTACTAATACTGTGTGAAAGAACTCACAACCCCATCAGGCCTCTTTTTTTCAGCTCATCCCTATGTGAAGCTCAGGTAACTCACTGATGTCTTGAAAAACAACCCTTCCCCTCTAAACAATCTGCAGGCTTACAGACTTTTTTATGGTTTCGTTTTCTGGTGGTTTGGGGGGTTTTTTGTGTGGTTTTTTTTTTTTTGTTTTGTTTTGTTTTGTTTTGTTCTGTTTTGTTTTGGTTTTGGTTTGGTTTTGTTTTAATCAATGGGCATTCTGAATTATCAATTTTTAATTATATTTTTATTTTTAAAAAGTCTTTGTCTGCTCTGTGAGACCATTTTCTGCCTCAAATCTAAAAGTTTGAGAATAATTGGTAATCACACTGGAGAGGCAGTTTGAGGTGAAAAGGACTGTTACCAATTTTGATTCTACCTTATACATGGTGCTGAACATTGCCATAATTATGTTGAAATAGAAACAGGAAATTTCTGTTATTGGTCAAACCCCATATTTTAATAATTATCCATTTGAAAATATAAATTACTGGAATCATAAATTCTAGTATCACCAACAGTTACAATAGCAAGAGGCAACAAGGAGTTCATAGGCCTTTGGCAAAACAAAGGGTTGTACACACTAATTAACACCACCAGAGAATTCTTCTTTTAATTCTCTGTACTCAGAAAAATAATGTGCATTTATTTTTAATTGAAGTGTGGTCTTGGCAAAACGCAGCTGAAGAGATGGTCCTCCTCTTGCTAGCACAGCCAGGTATTTCAGTAAAGCAGATACATCAGCTGGATAGGCTGCTTTTAATATTACTTCCAATGCAAGAATCAGGCACCCAACAGTAAGAAAACGGAATATTTAGGAATCTGCTGTGAAAGAGATCCTAGTGGATCACTTGAGCATGTTTTATTGTGTAGAAGTATGGGAAAAATCAGCTGCAGCAGTGTCTCCTTAGGTAACCATGACTCAGATTTTCACCAATCAAGCTGTATCAAAATAAAAACACTGACGAATTACCAAGTGTTAGGCCACTGATTATGATTATTAACAAAAACTGGCCGTGTTGAGTTCTTATGTTACCTAATTTAATAAGAAATTAAGTATTTCTGTAGCAGAGCATGAGGGAACCATGTCTGTATTGTGTACACTGAGCAACACAGTACAAGCTGCTATGCTGTAAAAAGTCATCTCCTTCTGGGGCACAAACAGCCCTTCACAGGACTTTAATCTGCTTCTTGCCTTGCTGCATAATGCACCAGTTCAATTTATTTTAATTATTTTGAAAGAAGTGAAGTATTTTGGACAAAGGAGCTAATTTCTAATCCATATTCAGTGCTCAAGATGAGCCTGTGTTACTTCCTCCTCTTTGAAATCAATTTGTGACTAAAATATTGATTCAAATTCCTGTTTTTCAGTTTAGATTAAGAGAAGACCCTTTAAAGAATATTAAATAATTATTTTGGAAATTTAGTTCCCCACGTCGCGGATTTTATTTAGAAGGAAAAACAAAAGTTTCTGTCTCCCGAGGTCTGTCCAGGTCCAGGACTCAGGGTTTATCGCCTCTTTTTTAGCTCACCCGTTGCCTCTTCGAAAGGAAACTTTGCCGAGGGGGACAAGAGTCTTTCTTTTCCACGCCTCTGCGAACTGGAGGGGGGTCGGTGGCAGAAATTCTGATAAAAACAGGCTTTTTTGGCTCCTAAGAAACACAAAATGAGCGGGGAGAAGGGACCTTTCTGCCGTGCAGCGGGGCGGGCTCTGCAACGCACCAATCACCGCTCGGCTCCGCTCTATAAATACGAGGCAGCCGAGGAGCTCCAGGCCCAGTGGTTTCCCGTGGATCGTGGACGAGCCTGACGCGATGTCGGAGACCGCGCCTGTTGCCGCTCCCGCGGTCTCTGCTCCCGGCGCCAAGGCCGCCGCCAAGAAGCCGAAAAAGGCAGCGGCCGGCTCCAAAGCCCGCAAGCCCGCGGGGCCCAGCGTCACCGAGCTCATCACCAAGGCCGTGTCCGCCTCCAAGGAGCGCAAGGGGCTCTCCCTCGCCGCGCTCAAGAAGGCGCTGGCTGCCGGCGGCTACGATGTGGAGAAGAACAACAGCCGCATCAAGCTGGGGCTCAAGAGCCTCGTCAGCAAAGGCACCCTGGTGCAGACCAAGGGCACCGGTGCCTCCGGGTCATTCAAGCTGAATAAGAAACCGGGTGAGACAAAAGAAAAGGCAACCAAGAAAAAGCCGGCAGCCAAGCCCAAGAAGCCGGCGGCCAAGAAGCCAGCCAGCGCCGCCAAGAAGCCCAAGAAAGCAGCAGCCGTGAAAAAGAGCCCCAAGAAGGCTAAAAAGCCGGCGGCTGCAGCGGCCAAGAAAGCGGCCAAGAGCCCCAAGAAAGCCGCAAAGCCAGGCCGCCCCAAGAAGGCAGCAAAGAGCCCGGCCAAGGCAAAAACGGTGAAGCCCAAAGCGGCCAAGCCTAAGGCAGCCAAGCCCAAAGCGGCCAAGGCGAAGAAGGCAGCGCCGAAAAAGAAGTAAGGTGACAGAATAAATTAGGAGTCCACTCATTGAAATAAACCCAAAGGCTCTTTTAAGAGCCACCCACTCACTCTCAAAAAGAGCTGGAACACTACGGTAAATCACAGCAGCTAAATCTTCTGAAGGTTTAGCAGGAGTTCATACGGAATAAAGATTTAATAAAGATGTTTGGTACGTGCACGTTCGGTGCAGCCTGCGTGGGAGACCCGGACTTCCCTAAACAGGAAGTGTGTCCCTACACTTCGGGGGCCCCGCGATTACAGCGGCGGTCGCTCCGCCCCCTCTTTGTTGCCCGGCGCAGCCCAGATTCGCGGGAGGCGGCGGCCCAGCGAGCGCCCTTCGCTCCGGTGCCCGGGGGGGTTTGAAAGTGGCGCGTTGGGCCGTGATTGGCCCCGCACCGCCCAGCCGGCCCCGCACCGCCTCCCCGGCAGACCCCGCCTCCAGGGCGGTGACCTCCCGCTCCGCCGCCGCTGTTGTCGGTGCCGGCCCCACGCCGGGAGAGTGCCTGTCGCTGGCACCGCATCAGCCCCCGCTCGTCTCACGGGTTCCAGGGCCGGGGAGGGCTGGGGGAGGTGGGGAGGGCAATGGACCAGGGATGGGGAAACGTGTTTTCGACGGCAGTTTGTGCAAAGCGCAGCTCACAGCGCTGCGGCGGGGCTGCAAGAGCTGCGGCTCCACACTACCATCCTCCCAGTACCTTGCACGTCACTGATGGTGTGTCCCCCCCGGTTTTTTCTTTTTCGGTTTTTTTTTTTTTTTTTCCATTTTTTAAAGAACCAAGTCCTGCATAACTTTGGACGTTGGTGTTTCCTTCCCTGTTGCCTAATCCGAGTACGGAGATCGTTGAATAATAACACTGCCAGCACTGGCGGGGGCGAAGGGAGTTAAAGGGTACATACGAGGAAAAACAAAGAAAAAGCTATTAACACGCCTGAAAAATTAGCCCACCGAGACAGAAATAATATTTTAATTTACTGATATAGCGGAAACGCTCATTAGCTGATAGGATTTTTAAGTAAAAGGAATTGAAACCCTTAGAAAATTTAAGACCTTCACCTACCTTTCCCCGCAGGACTCGCACTTGGAAATATTGCTGCTTTTTAGTCCAATTCAAGTCCAAAATGAATTACGTTTACTAAGCTTCAAACAAGCAAGTTCACTCTATATGAAGATAGGCCGCTTACACTGAGCCCCCCCTTCCCCTCGAAAAATTAGTAGGTACGTTTAAACAAGGAACGAGTAGCTGATGTACCACTTGCGTGCAAAAGAAAAACCTATTACATACCTTCCAGTAATAGCAGTGATTCAGCCCTTTTATTTGAAAAAATTGGTGGCTCTTAAAAGAGCCTTTGGGTTGAAAAGCGACGGTCCGAGACGCCCTACTTGGAGCTGGTGTACTTGGTGACAGCCTTGGTGCCCTCGGAGACGGCGTGCTTGGCCAGCTCGCCAGGCAGCAGCAGCCGCACGGCCGTCTGGATCTCCCGCGACGTGATGGTGGAGCGCTTGTTGTAGTGCGCCAGGCGCGAGGCCTCGCCGGCGATGCGCTCGAAGATGTCGTTGACGAAGGAGTTCATGATGCCCATGGCCTTGGAGGAGATGCCCGTGTCGGGGTGCACCTGCTTCAGCACCTTGTACACGTAGATGGAGTAGCTCTCCTTGCGGCTCTTCTTGCGCTTCTTGTCGCCCTTCTTCTGCGTCTTGGTCACCGCCTTCTTGGAGCCCTTCTTGGGCGCGGGCGCGGACTTGGCCGGCTCGGGCATGGCTGCGAACACTTCCTGGCTGCTCTGTCGCACCGGAGTGCCCGAGACCGCGATTGCTCCCCTATTTATAGGGGCCTTATGCAAATACCCGGTATCAGAAATCAGCCCTTCCATTGGACAGAGCGTCAGTGACGTCACCGCACACACACGAAGTGCTTCGCTATTGGTCTTTTTTAAAAACCTCGCTACTATTGGACAATGATTCAAATTTCACCAGCCAATAAGAACGAGCCTTTTCGATCCCACCGTCCGCGGCGAAGCTCGGCCTGTGCCGCCCTCGGGGTTACCCGGAGCGCTCGGACCGTGTGTCGCCCGCGGCTGCCAGGGCGCGGGTTCGCGCCGACCAAATGTGCTTATCGGCAATTTCTCCAGGCGAAAAAATACCCCAAAACTATAGAAAATTGCAAAGAGGTTTGCTACTGTTGTGTGGGGTTTTTTTTTCCTTCAAGCAGCAGCATACCTTCTCATAAAAATCTGCATTTCTAACAGCCAAGAGATAGATATTAAAGGGAAAAAAACGAAACCAGAAAAGATAGAAGGACTCTGGAACACAAACACATAATGGTATTTCAAATGAATTCTTTTGGCCCGCAGAACGTGGTTTCTTTTTCAGCATTTTAAATGAGATGGAAGTTCTGATTTAATTTGTAACGTGAAATAGTGTGGATTTCTTTTGAGATGTAATAAATACTGGATGGTAGTATCTAAGTTAAAACCAAGATAATCCTAGAAATTAAATGTGCTCTCTATTCTGCAGTTTGAATGTATAATGAACCAGAAATTCCAACTGTTTTATTGTTAATATGACTTCATTGTGTAAGGAGAAAGCACTGTTTAGACAGAATATATGGGGAATTAATCTAGGTAGTTGTATTTCTCTCAACAGTCTTAAAAAACATGTTCACAAAACGGAATAGTTGGTACTTCTTAATACCCTGTCACTCATCTCACTTCAGTAAGAATTGAGTTTCCAGTGATTGACCAAAGCTTTGGAGCATCCAAAAGAAATAATCATGCAGAATCGGGAAATCTAAGTGTGAAGGAAGGGAACAGAGAAAAATTTCATCAGCACCTCTAGAACCACTAAAAGATGTCAGAGCTTGATGGAATCACCAGCCTATCTCATGTTATGAAACGGTATGAATTGTGGGACTCTGTCTCGTTCCCCTGGATGGTTTATCTCCTCCACGTGAACATGTGCTACAGGCTGACAGTTTTCTCCTGTTCAGGTAACTGTTCCAGCTGGAAGTGTCTAGGAAGCAATAGCATGTCATAGAGGCAAAGCTACTGGTAGTGTTTTGCCAGTGCAGCTCCTGAGTGAGCCCTACATAGATTTTTCTGGAAAATTCTCTTTCTTGTTCTGAAATGTCATGTCAGAAAGACAATTCTTTTCTCTCTGTGATTATTACCTAAATAGGCTCCATCCAAAAAATGGAATTTTTGAGTAGTATCTTGACATTAATATCCCACCTTCTGCAGTCTCTCCAGTCAGAAATGCTGAAGGACAAATCATCTGATGAAGAAGAGCCAGAAGGCTATGTATTTTCTTGGGCTTACAGAGTGCACCTGTGAAAAGCAGAGTACACCCAAAAAACAAACCAAGAGAGAATATTAACCAAAGTAAACAAAGATAAAAATGTAGACTTTTAAGCATAGTAGGATAAGCGATGGGAATTTAGATTGATTTCTGAACATAATTTCATTTTCGTCTGGTGTATTCCTCTGTGTGGAACACAGAGAAAAGAACCAAAATGAACTCTCAGGAAAAGTTATAGAACAACTAGATCATCAGCAGGAGACACTTAGCACATAGCATTAGGGATAATTACAAATATACTGATGATAAGGCACAGCTGTCTAGCAGCTGTGATTATTTGGGAAGATTTCTGAAGTCCGTGATGAACCTTAGAATCACATTTGAGAAGCTGGGTTGCAATGCTGCAGGTTGCTACTGTAGATCTTTTAGTTATTGAGATTAAAATATTAAGCCTAATTGCCTTTATGCTCCATACCTTGCTATTTACAGCTGCAGGTTTTCTAGTTCTCTAAATTGTTGAGTGTTGCTATCATCTGAAAACCTTATAACTCCTTGCAGGAACATATAATATATGGGTCATATTTCTACAGCATACACTAACTGTACTGAAAAAAAGACAAGATGCAAGAAAAGAATAAAGTAGGGGAGGAAGTAAACATGCATTTTCAAAAACCAAAAAGTAACATCTACTAAAGATGATTAAGATGATGCAACTCATTAAAACGTTGTGTCCTTCTTTCCTTGTGAATGTAGCTGTAGAACTATAATAAATAATAAATACCGCTTTGAGTTCAAAAAGTAGCATTATGTGAAGGAAAAAACCCAGGAAAAGAAATAGTTTAATATGTATCAATAAAGAGTTAGACCATGAAAATGACAAAACACTTGTCACATCTTTAAAAGCACTTGAAGCAATACAGGTTTTTTGTGGGTACATCAGACAAGGGACACAAATCAATTCTTTCATCAGGACGTCAGTCTCATAAACACAAGGCCACGTGATAATTAAGTCAGAGACGTGGGACACACAAAAGACTTTTCTCCCTGCAAAAATAAGTGAAAGTGTCGCCCTCAAGGAAAAAAAAAAAAACCAACAAACAACCCCCCCACACCTTACTACTTTTTCTCAGCTCTCGGCAGTAAAGGGTGGATTTCCAGTAGCAGGAGGCCCACCGCGCCCGTCCCTCTCGGCTGCCCGGCCGGGCCCTTTGTTGGGGCTCAGCGCCGGCAGAGCGCGGGCGGGACGCGGCGCTCGCGGCTCCGCCGCCACAATTGGCCGGATATTGCAGCAGCCCTGTGGCCGGCGAGAGCCCGCTCCCCCTCGGCCCCGAGAACGCCGACGGCGGGGCCGAGAAGCCAGGCCTTGTGTCGCGGGCAGGGAATGACTCCGCCCGGATCCGCTCCCGCGGCCCCTCCCGAGCCGCGGCCGCCCCGGCCCTCTATGGAAGCGGTGGCGCGAACGTCCCGCCCCGGCCCTGCCCCGCCGCAGTCCTCAACCAGGTCGGACCGACGGCAATATACAGGCGCTGGGGCTCTTTTTCTCATTGCAACGCTTCCGGGTGAACGACGAACAGCATGTCTGGCAGAGGCAAAGGCGGGAAGGGGCTCGGCAAGGGCGGCGCCAAGCGCCACCGCAAGGTGCTGCGCGACAACATCCAGGGCATCACCAAGCCGGCCATCCGCCGCCTGGCTCGGCGCGGCGGCGTCAAGCGCATCTCGGGGCTCATCTACGAGGAGACGCGCGGCGTGCTGAAGGTCTTCCTGGAGAACGTCATCCGCGACGCCGTCACCTACACCGAGCACGCCAAGAGGAAGACGGTGACGGCCATGGACGTGGTCTACGCCCTCAAGCGCCAGGGACGCACCCTCTACGGCTTCGGCGGCTAAACTCCAGTCACTAAAATTACATCAATAAAACCACCAAGGCTCTTTTCAGAGCCACCCACAAATTTCACAACGAGAGCTGTTTATTACTGTTTTTTGAGCTAAGGTTGTGATAGACTTACTGTGAAAATGTAATGGTTGTGCAAATCAAGAATCAGCCATGGTAACACAAAACAAATCTTGAAGTCCAGAAAAATCAGCTATATCAAAATGTCCGGAGTGCTAAGATTAGAAGCGTTACATAATTTCACTAATAAAAGTAAACTCAAGGCAGCAATTATTGCATAGTTACATAATTTTGCTATTTAAAGCAGTACTGCCTTCACGATGACCACAAAGCACAACAACAGTACAAATGCAGTGCCTGAGCTGTGACAGTCACAGAAAGGAAGTGCCTGTAATTACGTTGTATTTTTTACTCCAATAGGAATGGAACGATTACAATCCTTTAATTTGCATAACGCCGTTATAAATGGGGGGGGGGGGCAGGCGCCATTTTCGATGCTCTTGAGCTACAGCGAAAAGGTTGGAAAGAAAACATTAGGGATGCCTGAGCCGGCGAAGTCTGCTCCAGCGCCTAAAAAGGGCTCCAAGAAGGCGGTCACTAAGACGCAGAAGAAAGGCGACAAGAAACGGAAGAGAGCAAGGAAGGAGAGCTACTCCATCTACGTGTACAAGGTGCTGAAGCAGGTGCACCCCGACACGGGCATCTCCTCCAAGGCCATGGGCATCATGAACTCCTTCGTCAACGACATCTTCGAGCGCATCGCCGGCGAGGCCTCGCGCCTGGCGCACTACAACAAGCGCTCCACCATCACGTCGCGGGAGATCCAGACGGCCGTGCGGCTGCTGCTGCCTGGCGAGCTGGCCAAGCACGCCGTCTCCGAGGGCACCAAGGCTGTCACCAAGTACACCAGCTCCAAGTAGAAGAATTTTAAATTAACCCAACGGCTCTTTTAAGAGCCACCACACTTTCCTAAACGGAGCTGTAACTGCTAATACACTGGGATTTTATCTTATGAACTGTGTAACGTATGCAAACAAGAGTAAATAACACATGTTCTATTAGAACGTAATATCGTACAACTGCTGAGTTATCAACTTTCCATTTGCATCCACAATCTCTGCAGTAACAAACAGCTCTCTTTGTAAAATTTGTGGGTGGCTCTGAAAAGAGCCTTGGTGATTTTAACAATAACTTTTGCGACTTTTTTGAGTTTAGCCGCCGAAGCCGTAGAGGGTGCGTCCCTGGCGCTTGAGGGCGTAGACCACGTCCATGGCCGTCACCGTCTTCCTCTTGGCGTGCTCGGTGTAGGTGACGGCGTCGCGGATGACGTTCTCCAGGAAGACCTTCAGCACGCCGCGCGTCTCCTCGTAGATGAGCCCCGAGATGCGCTTGACGCCGCCGCGCCGAGCCAGGCGGCGGATGGCCGGCTTGGTGATGCCCTGGATGTTGTCGCGCAGCACCTTGCGGTGGCGCTTGGCGCCGCCCTTGCCGAGCCCCTTCCCGCCTTTGCCTCTGCCAGACATGACACAGTCTCCCGCAAGGAGTCTCTAATACTGTGAGCTCCCTGGAGCCGGACTTTATTTCCCTAGAGCCGACCTGGTTGAGGACTGCTATCTGAGGCGGGGTCTCACTCGCAGTCCCCGCCCCCCGCCCTCGCTTCCCGCCGTTCGGTGGCCGAGGCTCTTTCCCGGCTCTGGCTCGCAACCGCGCGCGGCGGTTCCGCCTCTCCCGGGCGGGGCCGGGTCCCGCACCGCCCTTCCCGCAGCGGGGTCGCGCTGCGCTGACCCTGCCCGCTGTCAGCCCGCGCGTCCCTTTGCTGCTTTCCTGTGCCGTCCCGGCCGTGTCCCCTGCGCGGGGGACAGTTCCGCGGCAGCGCTGCCTCTCCGCCCATACCAGGGGCGGGGGCGGCGGGGCTCCCTTCCCCGTCCCTCCCCGCGGGTCTGCGGCAAAATCCGACCAATGCGGGACCGCACTCGGTGCTCCCACCCCGCCGCTGCTCTCTGCCCGCCCATCCCGGCGTGTGCCTGTGTATTGGACGCTTTAAGTGTTGCTTTTAAATTTTTTTGTTATTAATATTTCCTTCCTAGAGACCTTCCTCGGGTATATTTATATAATCTCTCTCAGCCTTGTCCTCCTCAACCCACAGCTTCTTTCCGTTACTAAGTGCTTCTACTCAGTTACTGCTACTAAGTTAATTTAAGTAACTAAGTTAAGTAAGTCTGTTACTAAGTCCTTCTTGAAAGGGGAGGGGGAGGAAACCCTCAAGCCGCGTGGTAAGAGCAGGGAGGTTTTGTTTTGTTTTTTTGTTCTTGTTTGTTTGTTTAATGTCATGTAGAATTTTCTTCCTGTGGATTTAAACGTGAAAAGTTCAGTGGTTTGGGCTTGTTTGTTTCCTTGGGGTTTGTTTGGTTTTCTTTTTTTCCCTTGCAACACATGCACACACACATACAAACACGTACATATTTATCTGTCATACCCTTTAGCCATCAAGCATATTTTTGGCCATTTCGAGGATAGCTGAGAGCCTAAAGAGTTCTTCTAAGGGGACAGACAGGTAAGGAAGGTACCACAGTTTACATCATTTTCTGGGAATGCTTCCTGCTGGGGAAGTATGGGACTCTGCACCTTAATGGAAATTAAAGCCTATTCTGATTCTCCATTACACTAATATTTGGGTTATCCCCTTGCTAAACACGTGCCATTTAAAATAGGAATGCTACTCATATTTTTAACTGTCAACACTAAAATATAGATCATTGTTCTAATGTTACTAATTTTCCTAGTTTAAGATATGGTTACTCAAACTAATAAATTTTACTTCCTGACACAGATACTATTAAACTAATTTATACTGAGAGTAAACAAAATTTCAAAATAAAAAAAATATTTGGGCCATTTTCCCTTTCTTCTTTTTAACAGCACAATTTCCCACAAATTTTTATTTTTTTTATCTAGAGATAATTTATTATTATCTTTTTATTTAATAGAGCAATATTGAGATAATCATAAATAAGTCTTCAAAAAGTGTGAAAATGAGAATTTTCTAAAGAACTTTTTGGGGACTTTGTTTTGATGTGATTTCTGTTTTGATTTGCATTTAGTCTTCATATGGTGAGAACTCAAAGCATTATGAAATATAAGCATTATAAAACATTTTCACTGGCATAATTTTGTGTGAGATCTTTGAAGAAAGAGAAGGAAAAACAAGGAAGTGCTTCAGTAACAACCACCCCATCTCCCTGCATCCTTCCTTTTTATTAATCATAATGACTCACAAATTTTAGGGTAAGAAATTTACCTAGTTCTTTCCATTTACCTTCCTTCCCTTATCCCCTCAAAAGTGTAGTAGATACACACATACAAAAAGGAATTTGCTATCTTTTTAGAAGATAGATTTATCTAAATTACTTTTTCCAAATGCAGAAACATAAGACAACAGGTTTGATTTTGGTTAGTTTTGTTAGGATTTGTTTTGTTTGTTTGTTTGCAAGCTGTTGTTATCTTTTAGCTTTTTTTCCATTTCCCTCTTCACCAAATAACTTTGTTCAAAACTCTCCAGCCTTCTTTTATGAAACTGTGCAAATCTACTGATAGAATCTATTTTATAACTTAGGCAACTGCCTGTTTTGGAACTGTGACTGTAGCATTTAGGGATGTGTCATGGTGCATCTGATTTTTATTTTTCCCTAATCCGAGGCCCTCTGTGCTATTCTGCTTAGTCACATTCTTATAAACTCAATTAGTCAGTCTTCTCTTTGATTCCTACATCTAAACTACAGTCTCCTACAATAGCGATTGATCCATTAGCATGTGTGTATCATCTTCCAGTCAGATAAGCCTCTTACATTCAGAAAGAAAAAGCAATTATCAACTCCAGAAAACAGAATGTTAAGTAAAGGCATTATTAGGACTGATGGATAAACAAAAGAGTTACAGAAAGGTATGTAAGAGGAGAAGGAATACAATACCATCCTTTTTGCAACAGCGAACACCGGGTGGAGCCTCATGGAGGGTTTCAGGAAGGGTCTGAGACCTGTATGGTTTCAGATGCCATTCAACATACTGAGATCTGAACATGGGGATATGGGTGAGAGTGCCTGTCCTATATGGTGTAGTAGTTGAGTTCTGCATCTATAATGGAACAGCTGGGTGAATTAGTGGAGACTTTTAACTGTACTTTTAGTTAAATGGCTAATAAAAAGTAACTCTTAAACATTATTTATAATGCGCTCAAAAAAAAAAAATCTCCATCTCCAAAACTCTTGAGGATAAAAAGTATTAGTATTTGAAAGTGTTCTTAAAATCCATCATATAGAAGACCTTGTAAAATACTGGGTATTTTGAAATACTTCTAATGGAGTCTTACAGCCATTCACTTCAGGACCATTAAGCTAGATAAATCTTATGAGGATATGTTAAGAACTCCCTATTCTTCCTATTTAAAGATCCCAAAGTCACAGATCTCTGAAAACATATAATATCTGCATATACACGTGCACACACAGAGCAATTCTGTCCTCACAGCATGTAGTCAGTATTGTCTACTTCATCTTAGTCTGGCTGTTCATTTTATTGCTGCGTAGACTGTACTTGTGCAGCTGCAAGGTGAACTCAAACTCTGCACATACCTTCCTAAGCAACCAGCAAACAGCAAGAACTGGCAATGTTGCTGACTGTTAAAATTTTCAGGCATTGGATGCAAAGGTGAGGTGACACATCTGGTCTAGTGAAATTTCTATATTGTATTGGCCAAGACTGAGAACACCAAAGCAGCCCTGAAGCGACAAATGCTGGTAATCCCCTGCATTTTCTTTGGTGTATGTATAGTTACCACTCCTAGACTTTTAAAATTCTCTCTTCTGGAAGTGGACTAGCCTGAACCCATGTAAATGATCTTCATTTTTTTCCCAAACATGTTTGTTTCTCCTAAAAACAAAACCAATAATCTGTTAGATGACTCTGCCTGGGAGAACTGATGGGAAGATCAAAATTGGCCCAAATAAGGAAAATAACATTCATTTCCAAAAACCAGCACCATACTTCATTTAGGAGAAGGGGACAAGGGGTGGATGGTAGAAAGGTGCCATAACATTTTATTTCACAGTATAACTAACTTGAATTGCAACTAGAACTGTTTATAGCTTAGAACTCCTTTAATCTCAGTGTGACAATGATTTGGACAATGAGCTCTGAGTACAGTAAAGCATGCAGAAATTCTCAAATGCTACTTATCATTACACTCGTGCACTGGAGATCTTACCTGCTTTTCACGGACTATCAGTAGTTTAAATTAATCTGGGAAATGTTCAAACCTCAGCACATTGAATTGACATCTGAAACACACAAAGATTTACATTTGACTGTCAGCTGTTCCTGAAAAGTTGTGTCCCAGAAACAGGTTTGGGAGGGGTTGGGTTTCTGTTGTGCTTCTTACATCATGCATTAAGATCTACATCCTCATGTTCATTACAACATTGACGTACTGCATGGAATCATATGGAACACTTACGAAAAAGTATATCATGAGCCTTCTGGATCAATTACTTACCTATTGATAGCATCACAGGTTGAAGCTCTTACAGGCCAGAATTTTGTAAAGCTTTACAGGTTGTAATAACTGTGCTTGTAATAACATACAAATCAAAAATCCAGGTGAAGAGAGAAAGGGGGTGGTCGTAAATATATCTAATATTCATGGTATGGTGCAGGCATGCAAAAAAATGTTGGGAGATGTTCAGAAATATATTGTCTTGGGGAAGGGTAGAAAGTAGAAACAGAAGCAATAAGGACATAAAGGATATTTGATTAGGTTTTTTAATATCTTGAATACATTTAAATTCCGCATGAGAAAGAGAACAGATGACACAGCATAGCAGAGTACAGACTTTTCTGATTGTAAAGATGAAATGATCAAGCCCAGTAAAAAAGTATCTTCACAGTACTGCACTAGCAAAATCTCAGTGCTTAGAGATAAAAGA